GCCTTCATGGAATTCTTTCTCTCTGCTGCTCCTCATCTGACAGGTGACTTGCTAAGGATACTGCTTCATGGTAGCTCCATCAAGTAGATGGGCTGTTCTTTTTTTCACATCACCATGTGCTGAGAGGTCAGGAGGAACGGATTAGCATTCTTTTGTCCTGACACTGCCACCTCTCTCCTTCTTCTCTGAAATGTATATAATCTGATTGCACTCTTACCTTTTCTTATTGCTGTCATACATTGACCTCCAGATCATTTCCTGGTACCTGGGACATGATTCTTTATTCCCTTCCAATTCTTGCCATCATTCTGAGTGAATTCAAAGTTCATACGTGAGAGTCACCTGACAACACATCTTCAAAGTTTCTTTCTTAATCACTGATCTACTCAACCTCACCTCAATTCCACTTTAGCAAATTTCTCCTATGGCCATCCTCTGAATCTCAGAAATAATATTTTCCCTGAGTTTTAGATTCAGGATATGGATACGGACAGCAACAAGGAAGGATAGAATAAGCCTAACAGCCTGATTTCTTAATCCCTTCTCCTACTTCTCTCATTCTTCACACCTACATGACAGCGTTTTTTGATTTTGTTTTTTTTCCCCCTACTTTAGTAGGTTTCCAGTCCCTGGATAAACCTACTTCCTTCTAATTAATCAGCCCCTTTACAGGACGCTCTTCCTCCACTAACTAGATTGGTCCCATTGCAAACTGACCTCAATTTCTTGTTTCCTTGACCTGCCCTTCAAGAGACCTGCCCAAACATCTCACAGAATTAACCACCCTTTTGCTGAACCACCTTATACATCCTGCTATTATTTACAAACATACTTGTAACGTTGAATCTCTGCTCTTTGCTTTCCAACTTACCACTTGTCTCAGCTTTAGGGCAGAGACCACCTCTAAAGTAATTTTTTTGTTCCCCATAACCCAGTATATTGTTTGGTCCAGGTAACTGGTGCTCAACACCTCCTTGTGGAATTTGCAATTTAAATGAATGCTGCAGGTTTAGGCTGAAAGACAACTTGGGTCCAGAGAGAACCTGAATAGTACCTACTGTTAGGCGAAATACTTTATTGCTGCCGGGTAAGGTTGAATTATACATACATACATACATAGAGATTGGAGTGAAAACCATTCTTGCTGTATTTCTAACAGTAATGACAGTGACATTTTACTTTAAAATCTTCCATAGTGTCTTATATGCCTTTACATACTAATTCATTCTCTGTCAAATGCTTATTGGTTAATTTCCAGGTAGGAATTGCTGTTGTTGTTTAGGACTATGTTAAAGACAAAGCTTTAGTGCCCCCTAGGCAAAGAGAAGGAAAGAGCTGGGCAATCCTTGGCCACAGACCCAGCTGGTAGGGATCAGTCAAGTCCTTTTCTCCCACTCTCTCATCCCTCACTCATTCCTACACTCCCTCCCCTCACCCTCTATCCTCATCTTTCTTCTTTTTCTTTTATTCAGATGCTTCTCAATGTAAAATGGGGTTATGTCCCAATAAACCCATCATAAGTTGAAAATATCATATGACAAAAGTGCATTTAATACATCTAACCTAACCTAACCTAACATCATAGCTTAGCCTAGCCTACCTTTTGCCATGCTCAGAACTTACATTAGCCTACAGTTGGGCAAAATCATCGAACACAAAGCCTACCTTATAATAAATTGTTGAATATCCCATGTAATTTATTGTATACTGTACTGAAAGAGAAAAACAGAATGGTTGTATGGGTACTCAAAGTACAGTTTCTACTGGATGTGTATCACTTATGCACCATCATAAAGTTGAAAAATCAGAAGTCGAACCATTGTAAGTTGGGGACCATCTGTAGTAGGACAGTGATTTCAATTACATTACTTGCCTTGTTGGTAAATCACACCTTCAACAAATGTTTATTTATTGTCTTTTGTGTCGGGCATAATTCCTTCAGCTACTTTGGAAACAGTTCAGAAGTTTCTCAGAAGAGTAAGCATAGTGTTACCATACTACCCAGCAATTCTACTCCTAGGTACATTGCCATACTATTCATTATAGTAAAAAAGTGGAAACAACCCAAATGTTCATCAACTTATGAGTGGAAAAACAAAACGTGGTATATCCATGCAATGGGATATCATTCTGCAATGAAATTGATTCATGCTGCAACATAGATGAATCTTGAAAATATTATACTAAGTGAAAGAAGCCAAACACAAAAAGCCACGTATCTTACGATTCTATTCGATGAAATGTC